GCCCTTTTGTAAATTTACTGTATGGTTCTAATTTTTATTTCGATTTTTGACTCAAACCGAATATCACACTAAAATCCCACCTAAGGCCTAAGTATAAACCTTAAATATGTGCAATATAGGGCAAGTATGTTTAAATATCAACCCGGGACGGTCCATGTACCCCTACTTCAATTGTTTTAAACATTATCTGGCGGAATGTTGTTTGTGAAAATTAGAAGGGTTGAAACTCTTGGTGAGAAGCTTCACTCGGGAGTTGCTTCCCCATAACTAACTACCATGAACCGTGGGATCGAATGAATCAGTGTGCGACAAGGCAATTGCAAACCGTAGGAGGTGAAACAATGGTTGGAAACCATCCTCTCAAATCTCAATTGCTATGCCAAGGAAAGCATTAGAGGCTACAATTGTAGCCCTCTTGGCCCAAGCAATTGAGGGTTGACTTACCTTCTCCCTCAAACCTAGGTTTGGACTGCTTAATCACAATTAACATTGGTGTCTAATTCAAGTTTAGAGGTTTGCCTAAATTAACCTAGTTAGGAGGCATGGAATGCCTAAGAAAACCCAGCTCAATTTGAGCCACTTAAGATAAGGGCATAATAGATTGCCAAGCACACAAAATGCACATTAACCATGAAAAATACCTCAAATCTTAAATTAAACACAACCCACACATAATCATTCAATCCACACAATCAACTACATGGTAGAAGTTAGGATTCTACAATACCCAAGTGAAAATGGAGACTACTCCATGCTAGACAAAGGAAGAACACAAAGAAAAAAAAAAAGAAACCATCATTGTGATGCCTCCAACTCCCCTTGTGCTTGTAGAGAACCTCTCTTCAAGAGGAACTTCCCAAATCTTCACTTGGAGCAAACCCTAGCCTCTTCTCCCTCTTGGTTCGTGACTTTCTCTCTCTCGGGTTTCAAGAAGAATTTTGGGCTTCCCTTCTTCCTCCTTTCAGCTCTCCATTTACACCCAGATCGCGCCAGTTCAAGGTCCCAGTTCACGACCGTGAACATCAGGCCGGGACCCGTTGGCAGTAGTAACCTCTTAAACCCCTCTGGACGCTTCACAGTTCACGGTTTGTGGTTCCAGTTCACGGTCCTGACGACCGTGAACTGCAATTATTGACCGTGAACTTTGGCTGGATCCTCCTCTTTGCCCGGTCTTTGCTCATTTTCTTCTAACTTTCGACTCCAGGGTTGGTTTCACCTGTTGGACTCTGAAACACATTGAAACACAACAAACCTAGCATAAAACCAGAAACGCAAAAAAGAAACGAGGATAGAAAGAGTACAATTAGTGCCCGAATCACTACCCCACACTTAGACGTTTGCTTGTCCCCAAGCAAGCCATTTCAAACAAGCTAGTATCTCAACCTAACAAATTACATTGAGGACAAATCAAAGGGAACAAAGTGGCGAATCTCAATGGCTATTAGAAATGAACACATGGAGCATTGAAAGCAATACTGACATCCACCACAAACGACATTCGAGGTTACCAAAAACGGGCAAACAAAAAGTTCTCACCTTGTTTATGAATCAATGCAAGGGTCAACAAGATCACTTATCAAACACAACTAACCATGCGTAACATTCAAGTCCAAGAATCAAATGAATGGGCAACAAAGGTCCTCACCGGGGTATAATATGACATGTAAAACAAGAACAAATCACTCACTCTCTTGACGAGTGGGGTGGGGACCATATGGTGCAAAGAATGTGCACAATCATCAACACTTGGCCCTATCATCTCTTCACCAAGGCGACAACCTCTAAATGCTAGAGTTCACGAGACGGTTGTCATCACTAGCTTGTCCGAAGGCCTTAGACACGGGTTCGAATGACTGGAAGTTGTCTTGGACATGGGGAAAAGGCCTTTTCGGTGGTGGCAAACACAACATGAGTTTCTAACCTCTTCATATTAAAACACGACTTGGTTTTTGGGACCAGAGGCCGTGTTTTTACCCCTGTGAGGGTTTTATTGGAGAGGAGCTCATATTTTGTGGGGGATTCAACTTGAAACAAAAAAAAAAAAAGAGTTCTAGAGAGATAAAGTGACGAACAACAAGTCCTATGATCGATTTTGAGTATGATTCCTCTGATCTGTGTTTCCCTCTCTCTCTCTCTCTCCCTCTCTCTCTCTCTCTCTATGGAGTAAACCTTCTTCTCACTTGGGTATGAAGAACCCTAGTTCCATGTATTATGGATCTTGCTTGTAATGACTTTTAGATGTTATACTAGATGATTTTAATCTATTGGGGCATGTTTATTGAGTCAATTGAATCCTAATCAAAATCTCTTGACTTTTGCTTTAACCTATGATAGATAGAATCTGATTAGGTTGATTGTACGAGAGTGAATCAATTCACTGCTTTGTGTTGGAATTCGTTCCAAGTAGAGGAGATCTATGTGAATCGCCTTAGCCGTCTATCCAGGTGAAGTTTAGTCGCCTGCCGGTTATTTTGTCTAAGAGGGCTTGGTCAGCTTAAAAGATTCCAAACTATTTTATGATCTTTCGCAGTCTAATCAACAGTAAAAAAACCAAATAAAATTACAACTTAGACCTATTCTTAGCAAAACCATACACAAATCACTCGCGTGGAACCTCGTTTAAACATAAATGGTATGAATGGAGCTTCCAAACACAAGGGGGATTCAATACGGTGTAGACACGAAGAAAGTAGGGTTGCTCTATCTAAATCAATCAAGCTCAAGTAGCATGAGCTACCTAACACGAGACCGATCCTTAGACACAAGGCTCAAAAGGGCTGACTGTAACACCCTAACATTTGGGTCTAGGTTCAACCGAATTGTTGGATCGACAATTACGTACAAAAGTTTGCAATCGTGAATTAGTAATACTAACAATAATAATAATAACAGCTATTATAATTATAATTATTATATATATTGATATGATCCCAAATTCCCCACCATTCACGTCACAATTACTTGACAAAGAAGCTATCGAAGTTGGGAAGAAGAAAGGCAGAATTTGGCTAAGTCAAAATCCGTGTTCAGGGTACATACTTTGGAGGCATGGTTCTGTCAATTGGATTGGTGGAAATTCAAGGTTAAGGGTTTGTTTTGTAGATAAAGTTTCCATATTTCCAATGATATGCTTTTTGGATCCAGATGATGTCATTAAGGTTGTTTTCCAAGGCCTCAAAGTTGCTACCTCAAAACTGAAAAACTGCCAGAAAATGACTAACACCCTACCCTATACTTTTTGCCTAATCATATTGTTCATACAATTGCAGCGGAAATAATCTCGGGTGTTACATTAATTATCAAAATTTACCCAAATAAAATTTCGACATGAATTACTCGCGTAATGAGCTAACAGTTCTTGCAACTTATCCTGCAAAATAATTCATCACAAACATATATACTCACAACCATATGCATTGGCTTTTGTTAGCCATAGTCACACTTTCATACTCCACAACTGCATACCATACTTATACATACCATAATCGTCACAACTTACACAGTTACACAACATATACACATATCATCAACTTTCCACACCTGTGGATATCTCACACTACATGAGAAGCTAGTATGCACATGAAAAACGTTCTCAAAACATTTTTACAAAAAGGTGTGGATCACTGGCCAAAATCCCGAGTAGTAGTCCAAGCACAGAATAGTTGAAGACCATACCTCATCTTGACTTCAACTCTAGCTCCTCTCCCACCTAACACCTATCTACTGCTGCTGCTGATGATCTACTTACACATAGCATAAGCAGAGAAAAAGAATAAAAGAGGGTCAGCTCATAGCTGAGTGAGATAATCATAGCATCGTGAGTTCATAACAGAGCATACCCCTACCATACATCTAGCAAACAAGCCAAAGCACTAGGATCAGACCTCAGGCATCCGACATCCCAATAGGGAAAAGACTCAACCACATTAAATTATGCATATGCATTTTATCATGTTTTACTTATAGGCGCCTGGCTACTCCCATGCTAATTACTCTCCCGGGAATACAGACCAAACATCTCGTGGATGTGGTCATATCGGACCCACCACTGCCGGTGTAGTCATATCGGACCTGACACCACTATGGGTGTGGTCATATCGGACTCAACACCACTCTGGGTGTGGTCATATCTCATGATGAATCAACGGTCAACACCACATCAGGGGTGTGACATAACATATCATAACGGAGTAATAGCATGGGGAGCCCTAATTACTATGTAATTGACCATGAGACCAAATCACTCTTATTTGGTAATCTTATACATAATCCGAATTTCATCTTGCTTACTCATAATTCGTTACTTGTACATGTACTTGACCTGGCCATAATTGGCTCAACATAGGTAAATCAGGAGTCGTATAATTGCACTTCCTCGGGATAAACCCTCGTGCAAGTCATCCTCCTTAAACATCATAATATCACCAGGGAATATATATTTTCCCACATATGCATCCAAATACAACAATCATGAAAAATCATACCCAATCACCTTTTCGAACCATCATAAGGCATATCAACAGTCAATCCCACAATTTGCAACATATACGAAATCATCACCATAAACAAGGTCCATCTCGATTACGGCAAGTCAATAATATCATACAGTAGTCCATGATTCATCATATAGCACAAAAGTTCATACACCCCTAATCATGCCATTCTAGTTCACCTAGGTCAATTCTAAGCATCAATATAATTATCGTGATACGACAAACCCGGTATGCCGTGCTAATCCCTCACCAGTTCTGGTCGTTCAAACACCGGTTTAACCTTCCCGTACTAAAACGTCAATTTCACGAACGAACCCCGAATTAAAATCCGGGACCGTCCTAATATCCCCTGCAGTATCCCCGTCAATATTAGTTCTAGGCTCCGGGTCCAATTCTTGATAAAAACACATCAAACCCTGGCCGGAGCTAAATTCAGCGATTTGGACCCCGACCTAAATAATAGCCGAAATTCAGGGATTAGAACTAGAGGATTGATTACCTCGCTGCAGGAAGCTCGTATATGAAATTTGGGCTCAATCCGGCTTCCGGATACTCCGAAACCCTAATTTGGTTTATCGGGAATTCATGAAATTCCTGAACCAAAATCTCGTTTTAAAGCTCTAAATCGATAAATCATGATGTATAGATGAATTAAGCATTACTTACGAGATTTTTCGTAATCCAAAACCATAGAATTTGGCTAAGTAAATTTCCCTCGATCCTTCTCCGTGTGCACTCTGCGCGAGCTTCTCTCGGTCCAGAAAAGGAAAGAATGAGAATGGAAATGGAATGGATATATAGATATATAATGGTACAGGGGGAAGGGATGTATACGTGTATAAATAATGGCAAAGCGGTTCCGGCTGCTTTTCCCGTTATTTAACTCGTGTTTTTCTTTTTCCTTTTAATATACGTATATATATATACGTATATTATATATATATATATATTAATACGTATATTTTTCCGGTCGATCGATATTCCGATTTTTGTCGAAATAGTGTCGAAATGCTCGATTTTAAATCGCGAACTTTCTAGCGATCGAAATATGAGTTTTGCCGGAACGGGATGTTACACAGCTCTTCATTTCCCTCGTCACAGCCGCACCCGTTGATGAAACCCCATCCCCACTAAAGGTAACAGAGGCAAGTGAATTACCCTCTACACTTAATTCTAGATCGTCTTTGGCAATGGTGTTGGGATTAACGATTTGGAGCAAATATATATAAATGGTGGATTATAAAGATGATTTGGTGCTGCAGGGCCATGATTCAATAGATGAATTTTAAGTGGGTATGAAGCTTTGTTTATGAACTAAAGGTTTGGAATAGCTTTTGACGTGGGATTGGTTAGTGGTATTATAAGCTACAAGAAACAGTGGGCAAGGGGTTGGTTTGTAAATGGTGGAAGAAGGATCAGTTGGGTAAAAAGATGGGTTAATTAGAAGAACTTGGAAATTGGAATGGGTTTTAGTGGCTTCACATGGTTAGTGTTTACGTATGCAAAGGTTATTATATTAGATGGAAATATTTAACGTTTCTGGGAATGGTATGTATGGATGGATGGATTAGGTGATGTGGGGTATGGAAAAAGAGGCTGGTAAACGAGATGTGATGGCGAAGGAAGTAAACTCGAGTCATTCAACTTAACAACCGATAAGGTGAGTGTAAAGGGGGTAAATTCTACGCCTTGCGTATTTTCAAGTATTTTTCTTACATGCTTAAGATGTTGTTTTATGTGAAATTGTGTGCTTGCTAATGTTTATGGGTGATGATGTGTGTTCGTTTGATTCATAGTTTGAAGGATGTGTTTATGAGCTTTGAGTATTTAATTGAAGCTTTTACATTTCTTTTGACGATTAAGTTAAAGTGATAAGAGCAAGAGAAATTCATAAGTAAGAATAAGTTAACCTCGCTTAGCTAGCCACTATCTAGATGGATTCCTACCGGACGGTGATAAGTTCCGCGGTAGTTGATCACTACCGGATGGTGATACCTTCCGCGGTAGTTGATCAGGCGTGGAGCCGGACGGTGATGAGTTCCGCGGTCTCCATTGCCTAGGTTTAGGTGTGCTATCGGATGGTGATACGTTCCGCGGTAGTCACGCAGTAGTTTGACAGCGGATGGTGATTCGTTCCGCGGTGGTCAAACCCATTTGAGGGGCACCCCATTGTGAGGGTAGTCATGTTTAAGAAGTAAGAAATTAAGTAAGGCTAGTAGTGGCTCCAGCTAATTCGAGGTAGGGGCCCCAACAATAAGATAAAGGAAGAACTAATATGTTTTCAAGAGTTAAAGTTTAAAAGGCAGAAGTACAAACAACTTCCATAAGTTTAAGTAAGTGTTTTGAGCAAAGTGTTGAAGTATTAAAAGTAATAAACGTAAGGGCGTAGACTGACCCCAACTCACTCACCAGTTTGAAGAGGAAGAGCTAGAGGAGTAGTTAGAGAGAGGGAGGTCAGGAGAAGTAGCTCTGGGGAAGCTGGCTAGAGGAGGACCGTACGAGCATATCGAAGGATGCCTAGTCAAGGTTTTCAGTAAGCGGCAATGTTAGACATGATTGAGTTATTATATTTTATGATTATGAGTACAGACTGGAGATCAATTTGAGATTTTAAGTATTCAGTTTGGCCATGTGTTAGGGCGTTGCTTTCAACTACAAGTGTGTATTTCCAGTATTTTATTTATGAAAATTTTTCATACTACAATTTAAGATTTGAGTGTTTTATTTTACAAGGGTATTTTGGTAAAAGTAGTACCCGGCCGGGTTAGGGTGTTTCATTTTGGTATCAGAGCCGACACTCCTCTGTTTCTTGGTCTCCAAGGAATACTGGAGTAACGATCTGAGTTTTTCAAGGTTTTTATTTTTAAAGTAAGGGAAAAAGGGGGTGTCAGGTTTAAGGTTTGATCAAATGAGTCAAGGGTTTTTTTGAGGATTTTAGAATCTCCAGTTTATACTCAAATCATGATTAGGAAAATGATTCTAGGAGATAGTACGAGGTTTTGACACGTCTCAGGAAGGAGAACGAGCAGATTCCTAAGAACTTTTAGTGCTAACCCTTTCATAAGTGTGAAGAGAAAGTTCCAGGCAGCTCATATCCTACACGGATGCGAGCTGATCAGAATAAGGTTTAGGAAGATGCCAAGTATCTAGTACGTCAACAGGCCATAGCCAAGGAGTTACGACACTTGGCGGTCGTAATTTATAGGAAAGGATGCAAGGAGGGTTCATTGAGTTCACGGGAAAAATCGAACGTAGGGACTACGACCCAATGAGTAGTGGAAGTTAGACTTTAAGTCACGTTGGGAGCATAAAAAGAGGAATTAGAATACGTCTTAAGGAGCCCGATAAGTCTTCAAGGAGCCCGGCGACAAGTGTTGGAAAGGTGGAGTCATTCAACGAGATAGACGATGTAAGGAACGAGGCTTGGGAAAGTCCTGAGGGACGAATTTCGAGGTCGAAATTTTTCTTAAGGGGGGAGGAAATGTGATACCTCGATTTCGATTTAAGGTCCAACAGCAAGTACTAAGTGAGCCGGACCAATAAATTGAATTGAAATTTTGTCTCGCGGTGCAAGTTTGAGGATTTAAAAGGACAAGTAGCCACTTAAAACTACTCGATGCTAATTAGTTTGGAAGAATATCTTTAGTGGCCAAGAGGAAAAATAAGAAGTGAGGTAGACAATGCGAGACAAGCAACAGACATCATTGAGGGTCATATATCAAGAGTGAATTCTTGAGCCAAGGAAGCACGAGAATGAGGACTATGGAAGGATGAGTCCGATCAAATTTTGAGGACGAATCTTTTGTTGCACGAGAAATGTAACACCCTAACATTTGGGTTTAGGTTCAACCGAATTGTTGGATCGACAATTACGTACAAAAGTTTCCAATCGTGAATTAGTAATACTAACAATAATGATAACAACTATTATAATTATAATTATTATATATATAGTTAAAATGAAAAAAAACCCATTCCATTTACCCGTTACCCATTCCCCCTACTAATTTCTCCATCGGTTACGTCCGATGCAATTTTAAAATTCCCCATTTTAATGACCCCCAAGTTAAAACGTTCCCATTCATTCTTTTCTTCCTCATTCGCGCCGAGCGGAACGGGTACAAACAATGGCGTTCGCGGCCTGATCCATTGACAAGGGAGTGATGGAACTGGACTGGCGGCAACGCAAGCATGGTGATGGGATGGAGAAAGAAGAGAGAAGAAGGAAAGCTTTACTCGGGGGAGAAATTGAAGCAGATATTCAATTCCCTCGTCACAGCTGCACCCGTTGCTGAAACCCCATCCCCACTAAAGGTAACAGAGGCAAGTGAATTACCCTCTACACTTAATTCTAGATCGTCTTTGGCAATGGTGGTGGGATTAACGATTTGGAGCAAATATAGATAAATGGTGGATTATAAAGATGATTTGGTGCTGCAGGGCCATGATTCAATAGATGAATTTTAAGTGGTATGAAGCTTTGTTTATGAACTAAAGGTTTGGAATAGCTTTTGACGTGGGATTGGTTAGTGGTATTATAAGCTACAAGAAACAGTGGGCAAGGGGTTGGTTGGTAAATGGTGGAAGAAGGATCAGTTGGGTAAAAAGATGGGTTAATTAGAAGAACTTGGAAATTGGAATGGGGTTTTAGTGGCTTCACATGGTTAGTGTTTACGTATGCAATGGTTATTATATTAGATGGAAATATTTAACGTTTCTGGGAATGGTATGTATGGATGGATGGATTAGGTGATGTGGGGTATGGGAAAAGAGGCTGGTAAACGGGATGTGATGGTGAAGGAAGTAAACTCGATTCATTCGACTTAACAACCAATAAGGTGAGTGTAAAGGGGGTAAATTCTACGCCTTGCGTATTTTCAAGTATTTGTCTTACGTGCTTAAGATGTTGTTTTATGTGAAATTGTGTGGTTGATTATGTTTATGGGTGATGATGTGTGTTCTTTTGATTCATAGTTTGAAGGATGTGTTTATGAGCTTTGAGTATTTAATTGAATCTTTTACATTTCTTTTGACGATTAAGTTAAAGTGATAAGAGCAAGAGAAAGTCATAAGTAAGAATAAGTTAACCTCGCTTAGCTAGACACTATCTAGATGGATTCCTACCGTACGGTGATAAGTTCCGCGGTAGTTGATCACTACCGGATCGTGATACGTTCCGCGGTAGTTGATCAGGCGTGGAGCCGGACGGTGATGAGTTCTATGGTCTCCATCTCCATTGCCTAGGTTTAGGTGTGCTACCGGATGGTGGAAGACTAGTTCCTGGATGCCTGCGCTTCATTGTCACAAACTTTGGACTTTTATTCGGTTTTTTCGCTTTTTGACCTCCAATTGTCCTGAAACTCATCATCGACCCTTCCACGCGTGCTAGAACCTGAAATGTATCAAAACAAGCACAACCTAGCATGAAATATGCCCAGGAACGATGAAATGCAAAGTCAAACTATCAAGAAATGAGGGGCAAAATGTGTACAATTATATTGGACCCCAATCAGGGAGGTAGGGTTGAGTGGTATTGGTGGAGTAGATGGTGGGAGAGCCGAAGAGGAAGGGAATGGAAATGGAAATGGGATTGGCAAGTGAAGAAATTGGGCTAGAGAGATGACATCTGTGGACTCAGATGAGGATTGCTTAAAGGGAAAATATATTCGTCAAAGAGTACATGGCGACTGATATATATTTCTCCCATGTTGTGATCAATACACCGATAACCGTTGTGCAATTCACTATAACCCAAGAAAACACAAGGAACGGAACAAGGTTGAAGTTTATGAGAA